GTTTACTTTATTAAAACCACCTTATTCTCTGTTTCCTCACTCAGAAAATAAATGCTATATGCCGTGCCAACCCATTTCTCTGGGCACCATGTAAATTGCTTGCCAAAAAGATTTGAAAAATGTTTTCAAAGGATTTTTCCCAAGACTATCCCCTCGCCTATCCTGAATTAAGTACAAAATGTGCAAATTCGGGGATTGATTAAACCTATAACAAGTCAATCAAAGTACCAGCTCTTTAGATTTAGATTGCTCACTTGTTTGTTTTGGCAGAAGCATGAGCTAATAAATGTTTGAATGTAAAAGCGGCATGAGCAGGTGATTCATTCTGTTTTTTAAAATACATCTAAAATACACTTACATTAAGAGAAAAGGAAGCAAATAACTGATGTCTGAAATGCAAAGTCTAATGATACTGATGGTTATTTAGCCATTTACACTGTGTCATTTAGTGATTTAATATCCCTAAACCAGATTTAATTCAATGCATCAAAAATCAATTAATCAATTCAAGAATACAATATTACTGATGGTTAGGTGAACTGAAGAGACAGTCAGTGTAGAAAATGCTGACCGGAGCTCTTATGAAAACATTTTGACACTTTGGTCCACAGTGGCTTTGGTGCCTTGAACATCAGCACTCCAAAACACTTGCGTAGACATTTATTGTCTTCAGTGTTCTTCATAACTGTGAAGAAGAGGAGCACAGACAAACACAAGAGAGATATAGAGTGTGAGAAGTATCACTTCAACTGAAAATATCACTTCAACTGAACTCTTGAAGAAAGCAGATGTGTTTTAGCTAAGCGTCTTTAAGTAGAGGATTTGAAGAAATGTCACCTGTTGTTCATTTTGGACTGCTTATCGCATGCTCAGGTGAGTTTGAAGAACTAATTGAATTCATCTTCGATTTTTTTTCTATGGCTTGTTCATTGATTTGTATTTACTCAATTATTAGAATCGTATTCATCAAATTCTGTTCACAAGTGTTATCTGTTTTTGTGGTTCAGTTCTTGTTGGGTGTAGCAGCATTAACAAGGGACAATGGAAGAGCATGCTGGAGAGAAAAAAGCTGAACCTTCCCGAAGAATTCAAAATGAGTCATGAACTGAACATAGAGGTAAACTGATGCACAATGTAATGCAATAAATTAAAAGTTAATTATACAAAGTTTCCCTTGCATTTCTCACATTTTAACTATCCTCAGAACTCTGAGATGAATGCCATTATGTGTTGGGTTTGCAAGAAGTCAATTCATCAGATCAAGGGTGTGATTCTTCATGAGATTAAAAAGGTGAACTAAAACTCTGTCTTCTACACTTCTTTCTTCTATATTTTGCCTGCTCGATCTTTAATTAAATGTTTTTCTTTCAGGAAATACAGGCAGTGTGCAAAGCAATGAAAATTCTTGAACACATCTGTGAGCACAATGCTTACAAATACCAATTCATGATACTTCATCTACTGTTTCCTGGTAATAGCGAACAAACCTGTCACCATTTGAGCATGTGTAAATAAATGTATTGCTCTGTTGTGATGAACCAAATTATTTTCCACATACTTTAATAAATCAGCCTGTCTATTTGATGTTGCTATAGCCTATTTTTTCCAGTGCAGTCAATGCAGTTATTTTTATTGTGTGAATTATATGCTTTCTAAACAATCATAAGCAAAATCTAATAACCAACAAAGATTTAATAAATTTGTTTATTGGATTATTTACTGCTTCTCACGTGCATATTTTGTTCACTAACTACTTGAATGATAAAACTTGGGTTTTATTTGCATTTGCTGAAAAACATTTTTATAAGTAAAACAGCAAGTCTTTACATTTTTTTAAATAGGACATGTAGGACTAATGCTGCGTTCACGCCATATTGTATATATATTCATAAGTGTTCTGAGTGACCTCTGATTGAAGAATATTTGACCATGTGACTGCTGACACAATTCCCGCTCTGCCCAAGGGAGAGGAAGTTCACGTGCGCGCTCACGCGAATAGCGTGACATCCAGTTTGAAATATTTAACATTTTGATTTTAAGTCACCTTTAAATTATCGTTAATGTTATACACATCAGCTAAACTTAAATCTTACATTCTCCAGCAGTCGATCTAAACACCACTGGGAGAGCGCGTGGAATTATGCGCGTGTCATAATTCCCGAGTCGCGGGTTTTTAAACTGAGGTAAATCTTGTTTACAGTGAAAACTCGCTCATATAGGGCTAAACAATATCATAACCACATGAAGTTCAGCATGTAAGCATTTAAGCTTAAATTTTAGTTATATAGGAGTGCTAGGAGTCATTTTTATCGTTATTTAGGTGATGGATTTTAAGACACAATGTTAAATTGCATTTAGAATATATCTGGTATTATAAACAAACAGGAATAACAAATAAATAACGCATGTCTTCTATACTAAAATAAATAACAAATAATTATTTCATTATAATATGTACACAGTGGCAGTTCTGTAATATCGGCTGATTTAATCATTGAAATATGATTAAACTGAGCCGACCGTGGGCAGAAAGCGCCCCGTCTGGAGCTGCTCACAGTCTGCAGATCCGGCGGGGTCAGCGGAGATCGAGGCCGAACCCAACGGCTCGGAACCAGGCAGACTCATCTCAGCAGCCGCGCAGAAAGACCCCCGGGCCGACCCTGCTGATCCAGAGGCAGGAGATGGCCGCCTTCTTCAGACTGTTCGGTGGGTTCAGCAGAACAGCTGCCAGCCTTATAAACTAAATATCACCTTATGTATCCCATAACAAAACAGTAAACTGGATCACTTTTACACCAAATTGTTTTTGCTAACTTAATCCAGAAATATCTAGATATAATTCTGTAGAATAAAACCTTTTTGATTTGTTGTGTGGCTCAGATGATGATCTAATACAGGACTTTATGTGGATGGACTGCTGCTGTAAACTTACAGACAAGGTAGCAAGACATATTTTCGTGTATTTAATATTTAGTGGTTTTATGATTGTGGTCAGTTTTGAATTTAGAATATAGGCAGCTGTGTCTCTAATCTCAGTTCTCTATGTCTTTATTTCATATAGTATTTGTTGGCTATGACATTCGTGTACTTCAGGAGGGCTCGCTTCAGTATCACTGAACACAGCAGAATGAACTTCTTCCTTGCCCTGTGAGTTGGATCATTCTGTGGATGTTCTGTACACTGTAAAAAAAAAAAGAAAAAAAAAGTTACATTTATGGTTAAAATCTGGCAGCTGTGGTTGCCAGAAATTCACTGTAAAAAAAAACAGTGTTTCAAGTTTTACTGACTGTCTGTATGTTTTACAACTTCACACACAAACACAAAACACCCTACATTACTAATAACAAAAATATGAACAAAAATATTTTTATAAAATATAATCATATGTGATGTGTCATGCAAGGACACATTCTTTTTAGTTTTTCACTTAATTTTATGGTAATTCTTAATTCTTTACTAATATGATAGTATTTACATTACAATTACATATAATGTGATATTAAACCATTTACAATTTTTCACTGTATGTGGTGCGGTAACTTGGAGTTAACCAATGAACAGGTTTTTACTGTTGCATTTTTACAGTATTTTTCTATATTTACAATGTATAGGGGTTGCACATGGTTTTGGAGATGTTCATTTTAAAGTTCTTCAGTTGAACTGCAATATGTTATGAGCATGACAGAAAAGTCTTATTTATGAATACAGCCTTAATTCCTACAATCCAAGTGCTCAATTTTTCATACACTAGTTATCTGGCAAACACTATGGAAGAGGATGAGGAGGAAACCAAATATGAGATCTTCCCCTGGGCTCTGGGAAAGAGCTGGAGGAAACATTTCCCACGATTCCTAAAGCAAAGAGACCAGTTGTGGGCACACATAGAGTACAGAGCGGCTGTCAGCAGACGATGCTGTGAGGAGGTACGCAGTTCATTAAATATGCACTATAAAGCATTTCATAGGTGGCTGGTTCTGAAAAAATAGCTCTAAGTCAAGTTGCGCTTGATGCATGATTTCAGGTTATGGCTATTGTGCCATCTCACTTCATCTGGCAGCGTGAGCGTGCAGAGCATCACAGTGGAGCTCAGAGACTGTACCAAAACCGTGAGGAGATCCTCATTCCCCGCGGGCCCTCTGCTTCCCCAGAGCCTTGTTTTCTCTGTGCCAAGACCTCTGCTCGTCCTATGCCTCGTCCATCCTCTACTGGAGCCCGCTCTTCATCTGTGCCACTGAAGGCCACTGCACACAAGGCCCAAGCTTCACACAGGCCCAGTAAGATGCCCAAAGCTCAGCACACCTGTAATTGTATGACTAAATCAGGTGAATGAGTGTGTGGTGCCCTCTTGTGGTGTTACAAGAAATTGTATCTTGGCCTCAGCTGAAATTGTTTCATGTGATTCATACCAGTGCCTCTAGAAATATTTACCATTGGCTTTTCGGCCCCTTTTTTTTTTTACAGGTACATTTACAGGAAGTGATGCATGTCAAGATCATTCAATGGACTGGATCAGTGAGGAATAGCTTGATTACAACATTAAACAGATCATATATGCCTGTTGACCATATCAGATGCACTTCACTTGTCTGAGGGCCAGAACAGAGTGTCTCTAAACTGACCTTATGAGAAATGTACAGCATTGGTGTGAATAGGGTAATAGTCATGTACATTGTTCATATAAGTTGTAAAAAATGTCAGAAAATACGATGTGACGTATTTTACTGTATCATAATCCTCATCACTATTTATTCCTTATTGTTGTACAAAGTACTTTGCTATTTCTTTGGTGAGCACTTTGTTACTCTCTTATGTCTTAGACGTGTGAATGAAATGTTTAGATGTTAAACATGGCAGGATTAAGTCTGTCTTAAATAAGTATAATATTTGGCTGATATGAATATAAATAAACACCTATGAAATGTAGTCCATGAATGGAGCAGATAGGTTCAATATATTTTGGCTTAAATACTCAAGAGCATGAAAGGAAAATGTGCAATAAAGTATAGTCTTTTTATTGTACAAGTTTATTGATACAGCATATAAGACACAGTAGCTTTGCTGTCTTCTTGCACAGACATTAAATGTGGAACATCTATTTCAAGATCTTTCGTAGTTTTACGAGGAAGGCTGAAAAGAAACATTAAAATCAGACATTAATAGGATTCTTAAAAATACCTTCATGCACAATTACATACAAAGTGCTTAAAAAGGTTTAGCATTACTAGTGTTTATCATTGAACTACACACAAAAATGAAGAGCTGACTCACCTGTATGGCCAGTCTGTTCAGGATGAGGACGTGCAATGTATGGGACATCTCCAAACGGCACCGGATCTTGACAATTCAAATCCCCTTAAATAGAGCATGATTTAAATCTAACTGAATGATTTGCACTGATGTTAGGATTTTTGTGTAATAAACAACACTCTATCTGTCTCCTTTATGAAGCAAAACAAAAATTGAGCACAATGTAAACATTAGATGAATGACCAAGTTATGAAAGAAGTCACCTTTCGTGTCTTCATTTGGTTCACTTTCGTTGTCATCATCATCTTCATGAGGAGCTATTCGTTTGTTAAATGTACCATCTTTTTTGAGTGACGGGCCAACAAGCCAGTCCCTGTACTGAACCTCAACAATGCGTTCACACACCAGAGGAAGGGCAGAGCATCGCAGTCCCTCCATCAGATCAATGACCTGTGTGATACTGGTGACAGAGTCAGGAAAACATTCAAAATTCACCCTTCAAAAATGTAGTGGTCAGTAAGATTTTTTTTTATTCAGCAAGGGTGCATTAAATTGATCAAAAGGAACAGTCAAAACATTTACAGTGTTACAAAAGATTTATATTTCAAATAAATGCTTTTCTTTTAAACTTTTTATACATAAAATATAAAAATGTATCATGATTTCAACATTGGTAGTAATAAGAGATTTTTCGTAAGCACCAAATCAGCATATTAGAATGATTTCTGAGGGTTCATGTGACACTAGACTGAAGCAATGATGCTGAAAATTCAGCTTTGCAAAATATATTAATATTTTTGACAGTATTATTGTTTTTACTTAATTTTTTATTTAAAAAATGTAGCCTTGTTGAGCATAAGAGACTTCTTTCAAAAACATAAAAAACTTATCGACCCCACACTTAAATGGTAGTGTATGTATATGGTTTACACTGATGTTTTGTGTATGTGCAGATTTTTGCATTACTTTGCTTGATAAACAGCACACACAGATCCAGGATGGAGGTGAGGAACCACAGCAGGTAAAGCCAAATGTGGATTAACCATATCCAGAGCAACCTAACACAAAATGTCTTTCATATACAGACAAGCAAATGATTCTGATATAATAATATATAATAATAAAAATATAAAAAACATCACAGCACGTGGCTCCTCACCGAGTTGAAACCTCGCCCTGCCAGAAGAGGTCCGGCAGATATGAGATCTCCATGGTGAAAGTGAACATTATCAGGCCATTCCTCTCCTCGCCGAAGACTCCACGAGGACCGCCAACGCTGGTAGTTTAATACAGCACATCTGTGATGGTCCTCTCTTATCTCCACACTCAAAACACTTCCTTTATAACCCACTGATGACACAGACATACATGAATGCAGAGTGATTATCGCAATAGCACACCTGTAACATAATTGTGCAGGACAATATCACCCATTAACTCATAATCAGGTGACTCATCATTATATTGCTGTTTATGAATACATAGAAGACAGCGGAAGAATCACACACCTGCCCTGGACAGGAAGAGGCTCATGGCACCAGATCCAGAGCCTGATTCCAGAACACAATCTCCTTCAGTCACATCCATCATGGTCAACATCGCACTAGCATCCTGCAAAGGAACGAGATCCGAGAGACTCTTTTGTTTTCGTTTTCATAAAGCAATAAAGGATAAAAGTAAAATGTAACCATCAAGTAATAGTAATCTTTTTCTCCCTACACCTTAAATGTATGTACATAATATGAAATATAACTACAATTTAATATAACTCTTCTATTTCAATGTGTTTACATTTTTTATTTTTATTTTATGTAAATATAAGCTGAATTTTCAGCAGTCATTACTCCAGTCTTGAGTGTCACATGATCCTTCAGAAATCATTCTAATATGCTGGTTTGATGCTCAAGTAAAATTTCTTACTGTTATCACAGTTGAAAACAGTTGTGTTACTTAATAGTTCTGTGAAAACCATAATGTCTTTTTAATAGAAAGTTTAAAAGAGCATTTATTTAACATATATTTTTGTAACAATTTTAAATGCTTTACTATCACTTTTAATCATCACTGGCGAGTAAAATTATTTAAAAAAATACTATGTGTAATCATTTTTAAATAGATTTTAAATAGATTTTCCAAGTTATTTTACAAATATCATGAATTATTAATTCATATACGTTACTTAATAGTTCTGTGAAAACCATAATGTTTTTTTAATAGAAAGTTTAAAAGAGCATTTATTTAACATATTTTTGTAACAATTTTAAATGCTTTACTATCACTTTTAATCATCACTGGCGAGTAAAATTATTTAAAAAAATACTATGTGTAATCATTTTTAAATAGATTTTAAATAGATTTTCCAAGTTATTTTACAAATATCATGAATTATTAATTCATATACATCAAAATATTTTGTGAGTTTCCCACCATGTGACATTTTACAACTGGAACTAAACAAAATACCAAAATTAATTTATTATAGAAAGTGAAAGCATGTTCATTATAGAAAAGGTGTGTTTAAGTCATTGCATGTATGAATTGCATTTTTAATGGATTTTCAAATAAATTACCAGATTTAATAAGCATCACGTCTTTGACCTGCATGATAAGAGTGCAGATGCTACTGATTCATTGATGTGTAGATGACTGTATGTTGTTTTATGATGTTTATTTCTTACTTTAGGGTATGCAATAGCTGGCCCTCTCTTCATGAAGAGAGTGAACTCATCCAGACTGGATCGACGAATGACAATCGGGATTCCCATTGAAGTGCGTATGACGCTTCCAGCAGGTCGCCCCTCCATGTCATTATGAGCTATTAATCCCCAGTTGCTATGGAGCTTCAGTCCTTCCTTTAGCTGGAACATCTTCTGAAACTCTAAACGTCTCTTTCGACTGAACTCGGCCAGCAGAGTCTCTCCAAAACATAGTGGCCTTTCCCCAGGAACACACACATGATGTGGAGCAAAAGATCCTTGAGGTTCCTGTATAGCTTCTTCTCGCTCCTTCCCCAGACTCTGACTGTCCTGTTCCACCTCAGTGTTTCTAGTGTCCCGTAGAGCCCAAACCTCTTGACTTAATGTGTCTTCAGGCAGAAGCTGACTGACCCTCTCCAGTGGGGACAGAGGTCGGCGCCTTCCAAACACAGAAGCTCTTCGGGAGAACTGTGGGGAAGTGGATGCAGGAGCATTTGAACTACTGTCCTCTCTGAATCCACTCTGATATGGCGATATAAGACCTTTTATTTCCAATATATCATTTAGTCTATGTATGATCATTTTTTCCATCGGTTTACATAAATTAGAAGTTAATGCAATTGGCCTATAATTAATTGGATTGGATTTGTCCTTTCCAGGTTTGCCTACTGGTACTATTATTCCATGTTTCCACGAAGAAGGAATCTTTCCTGCATTCCATACCTTGTTAAAAAGATTTAAAATAATTTTTAAGGATCTATCTGATAAATGTTGAATCATTACATAACATATATCATCTCTTCCAGGAGATGTATGTTTAACTCCCCCTAGAGCCATCTTTAATTCATACATAGTAAATTCTGCATCTAAAGTGTCTCCAGAAGAACTTCTTTTCATCATCACATCTGGGTGCTGATTCTTGTTCTGGATTCTACACTTTTTAATATCCTCTGAAACATTATCATCACTATGGACTTTAACAAATACTTTAGCCAGCATTTCAGCTTTTTCATTATCTGACACAGCTATTCTTCCTTCATCAGTTTTTAAAACTGGAAGAGTTTGATTTCTATAAATTCCTCCCATTTTCCTAATTGATCCCCATACTTCACTTATGTCAATATCTTCTCCTATTGAATTACACCAATCTCTCCAGTACTTCCTTTTAGCTGCTCGGACTATTCTTCTTGCTTCAGCTTGCGCTTTCTTATATTTAATAAAATCTTCAAATAAATGAGTCTTTATGATTTTTCTGAATGCTTTATTCCTATTATGTACCGCATTACTACATTGTTCTGTCCACCAAGGAACTGCTTTCCTCTTTTTACATTGTCCCTTTTTGTTTCTTTCTTTGTTTTCATTAGTACAATAATAAACTTGACAAATAGCGTTCAGACTTTTCTGTTATTTACTTGATTCAGTTTCCCTTATGATATATACATCGTTAAAGGAGAAAATATAGCTATTTATGAGGCTTAAATTATTAGTCTAGGGCATTATTTTATTATATAATATTAAAACGTAATTAAAAATAATTAAAATAAAAATCTTCTGCAAAAACAAACTAATGATTGAACACTTTTAAAAGACATTTGTTATATTTAAATAAAATAAATTAGGCTTTTTAAAAGAAAATATGTTATTAGGGGTCAGAGTAATAATGAGGGAGTCTTGAAGCATCTTTAAGGTGTGCCAAATAACTTAAACAAGGTTTAATAGACATTAACTTTTATAATACAATTTATAATTGTATTGATTCTGAGAAAGCCAGTGTTAAAACAACAACTGAATTATTTTTAAATATACATGAAGAGATATATAATTTTTAAAGTTTTAAATATACATTAAGATATATGACCCACAGTGTCTTTCGAATAAATAACAGGTACAAAAAATGTGCACCTGTTTCCAGTAAATGTTACAGAATTAACATTTTGTGAGTTTTTACATTTATTTTTTATTTAATGTTTTACTGTGATAGTAGATACATATAATGGCACATAAAAAGTGGAGTCTATTTAGTTTAAGTACTATGTACTAACTGCAAAAGATAATTTGCACTTTCTTCTTCTTCTTGAAATTTTATTGGCGGTTGACAAACAACAAAATGGTGTATTTCCGCCACCAACTGGTATGGAGATCAAAAACTGACTTCCTTCCTTCCCCCCTTTTTTAATTTTTTTTTTTTTTATTCTCTCCCACAAATTAGTTATTTTAAGGAACTGAAAAATAAAACTATAGCATTCATTCCTTGAGTTATTTTGTAAAATATATCTCGGTGTAAATTGCATTTTTATTTTTTTCTAAATTTTGCATTAGAATCCTTCTTTCAGTCTCATATTTCTGACAGTACAATATAACATGTTCCACTGTTCCAATGTTTCTTCTTGTCCACAAAATTCACACCTTCCCGTATCATGTTTACCCATTTTAAAAAAGTGTACTATTTAATCTTGTGTGTCCAAATCTCATCCTAGATATTACTATCTCATCTCTCCTATTTTTCCCTGCACTTCTCATCTCTCCCACTTTCCTTTGAATTCTGTAAAACCACCAACCTTTTTTCTCCTTATCCCATTGTTTTTGCCACCTTTCCTTCAGTCTTTTCTTAATAATACTCTTGATTTAATTTTCACTTTCTTCTTCTTCTTCTTCTTCTTCGGTTTTATGGCGGGTAGCACCAATGTTAATTTTCACTTTCAAATTTCACTAGATAACAAAACTCGAGCATAAAACTTCCTCATCCGTCAGTGATTGGTTAATGACAATAATGGCACGCCCTCTGAACCCAACGCGGCCAATTAGCGTTTCCGCTGCGCTTGTGCAGCTGCGCATGCGCGCTGTCCAATTTTCTCTCACACGTGTTTCCCGCGGAGCAGACGGACGCACGCGGAATGGTAAGATGGCGGCGGACGGAGGCCGAGATGTGCTACCCTGCTCCTTCAGCCCTAAATCACAGCAGTTCCTGGCTCTCTGCGCACAGGACGGGCGACTGCGCATCTGGAACACCGACGGCAAAACTCTGCAACAGGAATACGTGCCTTCCGCGCACCTGAGCGCAGCCTGTACCTGTGTGACATGGGGATCGTGCCGAGCTGTTCAGGTAACTTAGCGCACAGTGTTTGGGGGCAGTCGGGGATGCGGCCTGGTAACGCAGTGCATCATTGTTAGGGCTTCGGGTCGCTTTAGCTCTGTATTTATCCTGAATGTGATCATAAAACTAAACACGGGTTGTTTAGGAATATCTATTTTGGGTTCTTCAGAGCTGAGCTCGTGGAGCGCGCTGCGCACATGTTGCGTGTGGCACATGTTCAGACACAGGCCGCGAGACCCGCAGATCCAACACGAAATTCATCATTAAAACCTGTAAAATCACTACACTAATGTCAAGTACGGCTGCATGCGCATTTTGTGGTTAACATTGTTATATTCATCTATTGGTTGTCGGTGGCTAATAACGTAGGCAGAATAAGTTGATGTGGGCTAAAGTGATGGTTCTGTGTAAGTTTTTTTTTTAAACTCAAAATCATGTCAACATGTTTGTGTAAGTATGATGATCATTTTTGTGGTTTTATTAATAACCAGTGTTGTATTTATATTTAACGCTACTTTAGAAAACACATGGTCACATAATGGCTGCTCGTCCCTTACACAACTTATTGCTCTTTAGTAAAGTGTCTATCAAAGATTAAGCTACATACTTTCGATCAGGTTTATATATATATAAATAACAAGCAGAACGTCGTTGATTCTGGATAGTGTTGGAGAAAGTTGGGCATAAACAGCTTTGACAAGTCATTCTTCCATTGTTACTAGTAACATAGCAAATGTTTTGTTTGGAATTATTTTCTGTTTGTGATTCTGATATCAAACTTTAACTTGGCACTAATATGTTTTCCCGTTGGTCTGGTATTTGCTTTGCTGTTCATTAGCTGTTAGTTGTAGGCCTACCTGTAACCACACAAATAGTTATTTATCTGTTTCAGTTTTCATAGGGAAAACTGAATGGAAGCTAGTAATTATTTAATAGACTAACTGTTTACTGTAAGCTAGAGATCAGTATTAATACTTGTAGTATTAATTTACTTGTAAAATTGGAAAAGGTACCATAAATGGATGGAATAGTTGACTATTATAGACTACAGATCCCAGTAATAAATGGCAAGAATTTTTCACCAGTAACAATGTGTTTTTATTTTTATGTACCAGTATGCTATGAATAATTAAAAAGTGAAACTTAAAAACAGATAATAGTAAGTTTTAGGTGTGTTTTAAAATAGCTCTCGATAAGTGATGTGCATTAAAGTCTTATTAATGGAAATGACTGAAAATGTTTGACTGAATGAATAAGAAATGTATCATTTTTCATGAATCTTTCTGTAGGACTTAACTAAAAGGCAGCATGAGTTGTTTTACAATTATAATTTTTTCTTTATGTGTGTGCTTTAGGAGGTGCCACAGAGGAAGAGGAGGAAATGTGAGGCCGGGTCGGCACCAGAGCAGTCAGATCTGTTGGCACTGGGCACTGCTGCTGGGTCTGTCCTCATCTACAGTACAGTGAAGGGAGACCTGCATTGCACTCTGGTACGAATTCATCACCAACAGCTGGTCCTTATGATATTTGACTGATGCAACTCAAAAATTTAAGGGGTTTTGCGTAAGTTTGTTGCAAAACAGTTTACTTGAAATTGGCAAGCAAACTGGCACACATTACCAAGTCACTTCTTTAGTGACTTCTGATAATACAGGTGAAATTAGGAATGTTAATGATGTCTTAACCTGTCAGGAGGGAGGTCACAGTGGACCGGTGAACAGCGTTCAGTGGCATCCAGAGGACTCAGTGTTATACAGCGGCTCAGATGACACACACATAGCTGAGTGGGACCTGCAGACAGGAAAAGTTCGTTGGTGAGTCTGTGCAACTATGTGTTGGATTTTGCCTAATATGGATTTCCTCGTACATTATTCAACATAGTGAAGTTGTTTTTAGGGATGCACCAAAATGAAAATTCTTGGCCGAAGCTGAACAAAATTAAATACTGGGCCGAATACCAAACACGTTTTTTCAAAATTCCCCCCCCCATGTAGGCCTATTTTGCCATTTTTTCACCATTGCATAAATTAAATAGCCAAAATGTGCTTTTTACTATTTTGTCCTGCTTTTCAAATAAAAAATCAATTATAAAACAACAATTTAAAAATATTTACTTAACACTGAACTAGGCCTGGGCGATAAAACGGTATCGATATTTATCGATGGTACACCCTCTTCGATAACGATAGAAAAAATGTTCGATATAGCGCACGATATAGGCACGTGCTATGAGTGATGCAGACCGCACACACAAACACGAACACATGCTGAACTGAGTGCTGTGCCTGCCTGTGATGAGGAGATTGTGAAAAAAAAAAAGAATATTAGTCGAATTTAAAATAAACATTTGCATTTGAATGCAAAAATAGTACAATCAAATGTTAGGTGTGCATCTGGGGCGTCATTAGTGGAGCGCGAGATGCGGTGATGATGATGTAAGTGACGTTGTTGCATTTTAATGTTTTATAAGTCTAGCCCACAAGATGCG